TGTTGAGACATTCCATTTTTTGACTCTAAAATTAATGAAATTTGGGGAGGTTGCTTTTAAATGTCTACAATTCCCTACTCCCCGCTCCCCTCATTACAAAGTTGAATGAATGTAGTTTATGAAAGACCACAAATGATAACTCACGACTCACAACATTGATTTAGGGGGGAAGGGGGATTTAAATTAGGTTTTTTTCAGTAGTAAACATATAAAAACACTATTTTCATCACTTTGTCTCAACCCTTTTGACTGGGATTGCAGCTGACGTCTTATTTTGCTTTCCATCAAGACCGGTCCATTCGAACTGGGAGGACTGGTTCTGGTCGGTCAAATAGTACACGTCAGTTCTCATTGTGTGACATACAACAACAACGAACATGGCGGCTAATTTGCGTGTGAGCTGCCTTTTGACATTTTTAGCGATAAAAGAGTGTGCATTTTGTGATTAAGATGAAATGTTTTTACTTGATGACTATTCAGAAGATATTGTACTGTATGGTTGSTCTAGTGTGTTTTGTAGGAGAGCGTTATCGCGAATTCGCAGCTACTTTGAAGTTACTGTTCCTATGTATGAATCGGATGTCTTTAGATCTCACTTCCGTATGTCACGTACAAYTTTCGAGCTGCTTTGTCGTTTTATAGTTCCTAGTGAGCATTTCCCTAAGGGTAATCCATTTGGAAGAGAAGTTATTGATCCGGTACACGATGCCAGAGTCATGAGAAACTCTCTCCTTCATTTCCAGCATCATTGGTTTCAAGGTGATTTTCACCTGCTTGGGGATTCGGCTTACCCACTAAAAAGGTACTATTCATAAAATAATAATAGATAAGTTTTCACAATATGTACTTAATTTTGTATATGTACTTAATAATGCATGCAAATTAATATACACGTCACTATGTATTATACATACATTGACATTAATGTTGTTATAAATCTTCTCTTTGCTGGCTTCTTGTTCCATTTAAGAACAATGGGCATTTAACAGCAGCCCAAAATCGTTACAACACAAAGCATTCTGGCACTCGTAATAGAAAGAGCTTTTGGATTACTGAAGGGGAGGTGGAGAAGGTTAAAGTCTCTTCAGATGGAGTTAGTTGAGGAGATGTCGTATGTTGTTACTGCTGCATGTGTACTCCACAATTTCTGTTTGATAGCTGATGTAGGTTACATTGAGCAGTTTTTTGATGATGATGATGATGACAGTGATGATGATGATAATCAATATGAAATCCCAAGACCGCAGGCAACAGCAAAAAGAATGCTTTTAGTTAATTACCTCAATACTCTTTAAAGAAGTTTTTGTTTTGTTCAAAACAACAAAACCATGTAGTCACAGTACAATGTGAAATAGCTATACTGTAATATTGCTAAATATTACTTAAATTTTCATTTAAAATTCTTTCTAACACTTTTAATGAAGCACTTATTGTTTTTGTAAATCTCTTTAAATTCGGCCTTTACAGATCGTTGAATCTGTACATTTTACAA